CTCATTCGTTAAGTCTAAAATTTTTCCCATTAGAAGAAGACAAAATATGAAATCATATGATTGTACATGCCCAAGCAACAAATTACATTGTCCTCTTTGATCAACAATAGCTTCATGCATCCTCGATGATCATTTCCATAAATTTAATTATAGAAGAGAAAATGTTCGACTTCATTTTATATAGAATATTACAGAAAAATTAAAATTATTTTTATAATGTCTCGCAAGTTCTCCAACTTTGCCTTTCTTTATAAATATTTATTTAAAAATCATAACTACATATGTTTAGCAGCAAAAATCCAGCCTGGGCAGTTGCCCAGACTGAACTAAGTGTCGGTCCGCCCCTGCCTACCGCCACCATCCCGCTCATATAGAAGAGAGAGAAAGGAGATGAGAGAGCTGGCATTATTTAAGGATGAACGTTTTAAGGTAAATTAATTTAAGATATAATATCTTACCATCTATAATAGATTTTTCTTTTTTTCCTTTCTATTAATCACTAGGCATCAGTTGCGGATCTTAAAGGGTGGACTGTTCTTGTTTGGAAATAAATTTTAGGGAATTGTATAATTATTTGAGAAGAAATCATTATTGATGCGAATTTTTCTTTTTAAACAGTAAAAGTGCAATTAATTTCATTTAAGATAGAATGTATGTAAATGAGCCAATAAAATTGCCTAACTTCAACTTTTGATACAAGTTTCTCTATGAGGCCGAGTTGAAGTCATCTTGTTAGCTAAATGAGAAGATAAATGAACTCAAACTTGACTCATTTATCAAATTAACGAGTTGAATTCGGGTTTCAACGAGTTGACGTAAGTAAGCATTTGGAAAATTTCTTAAAAGTCCATACTTTTCGAGCTTTTCAAATCGAGCTCAACTCATTTAAACAGATCTTACGAGTAGTTCGCTTTGTTTCATACCTCCAGTTCTACGCATCATATCCACCTTTTCTTGCCTCCCTTTTTATAAATCTTCAAGTGAAATGATCACTACTTATTGGCAATGTCGATTTATTTTCAATCAGTAACAATGTTAAGACTAGAATCTTGAGGACTAGTGAGCATGTGAACGACTTCGCGCATTGTGGGCCGGGCTGAGCTCTCTTCCCCCACGCACATCATCGCAATCCTAAACAAGTCTAACAAAGCCGATGTCGGGTACTCTCCGAGTCTGGGATCCACAATCATGGATATATTGCCGATTGGGCTCCCAGGCCCGAACGTCATTTTTCGAACCCACCTTACGATATCCACACCATCCCCAAATTCCCCTACGGGCTTCCGGCCCGTGATCAGCTCAAGCAGTACAACACCAAAGGAGTAGACATCGCTCTTTTGATCCACCCTCAGAGTGTACGCATATTCTGCCACAGAATTGACACCAAACCGAAAATTCACAACTACATTAGATGAACCAATTCAAAAGCAAGTATACAATTGATAAAAAAGAAAAGAGATAAAAAACAAAGCGCTCACCGGGCGCAATGTAGCCGTACGACCCGGCAACCGAGGACATGCACTCGGACGAGACACCAGCATCGTGCCAAAACTTGGCCAGCCCGAAATCTGCAACATGGGCCTCACCCTCCCCATCCACTAAGATGTTGTTCGACTTCACATCCCTATGAATAATCGAGGGTGAGCAGTCGTGGTGCAAATAGCACAACCCTTTAGCCGCATCCATCGCGATTTTACGCCTCGACTCCCAGTCCAAGTGGGGGCCGTTCGGAGCCCTGAGCATCTGCCCCAAACTCCCTCGGGACATGTACTCGTACAGTAATAACTTCGTCTCGTGATTTGAGACATATCCTAATAATCTCACAATGTTCCTATGCTTGATCCTCCAGAGCGTCTCGATTTCTGACGAGAATCCGCGGTCGTTTCTGCTGTTTTCGTGCGTGATTAACCATTTTATGGCAATGTCCATCCCGTTCGGCATGCTCCCACGGTAGACGACACCGGACCCACCCTTGCCGACCACATTCTCGTCTTGGAGGCAGTTTATTACATCTTGGGCGTTGAAGTCGACCTTTTGGAAAGCCGTGAGTTTCCATTTTCTTGAATTCTCAATCCTCATTTTTCGGGACACGAGCCATGTTACAAGTAGTAACAGCAGAACAACTAATGCTAAAACGACTATAACCAGTATTTTTGATTTACGCGTGTTGTGTGTTCCTGGTTTGAGGCTTAAAGCTGATGCACATAACTGGTTGTGAGGCGAGCAGAGCAGAGGATTCCCAGCAAAAAAACGGTCGTCGAGATCCTTTAACAGGCCGATCGTGGGCCTCAGGCCGGAAAAATTGTTGTAAGAGAGATCTAACAGTGTCAGGCTTTTCAAAAGCCCAATCTCCTCTGGGACCGGGCCTTCGAGCCGGTTTCTGGACAGATTGAGGACATTTAGATTCTGCAGCCTGGAAATGCTCCTCGGGATCCCACCAGATAAGTTGTTACCGCTGAAATCGATGAACGTCAGATGTGAATTATGGGAAACCGAGGCCGGGATCCCGCCCGTGAAGCTATTCGTACTAAAATTAACCTTTGATAGTTTCTTGAGCCCAAAAACCTCACCAGGAATCTCGCCGGAAAATCTGTTAATGTCGAGGGACAAGATCGTGAGGTTCCTCAAATTTCCGACCGAGGCCGGGATTCTCCCGGACAACCAGTTGTTGGAAAGGACCATGCTACCGAGGTTTTTGGCGGTGATATTTTCCGGCAGACCTCCGGTCAGATAGTTACTATCCACGTGGAACATGTCCATGACTGGCAGCCGGAAAAACCCGCCAGGTATGGTGCCGTTGAGGAAGTTTCTCTCCAGACGGACCCGGTTCAAGGACTCGCACTCCCCGAGCCCCTCGGGAATGGGGCCGTAAAAGAAATTTTGCATGATGATCAAGACTTTCAGCCTCCCTCCCCTGCATAAATCCCTGGGAAGGACTCCGGTCAGGTGATTATGGGCTACGTCCAGCCGGATTAACCGTCCGTTCCGGCCAAGATTCTCCGGCAGCTCCAGCGTAAAATTGTTGCTCCAAATCTGTAAAACCTCGAGATTGGGTAAATCGCCGATGAAACTAGGAAAAGGACCGTGGAATCTGTTCTGGAACAAATGTATCAAGGTCAGGTTCTTTAATCCGGCGAACCCTACCGGAATCGTTCCAGTAAGGCTGTTGTCGGAGAGGTCCAGCGACATCAAATTCGTCAGGCGCGAGAATTCCAGCGGGATTTCGCCTGTCAGGTGGTTGAACTGAAGGAACAGGGAGGTCAGCCGGTGCAAATTCCCGAGGGTCGCCGGAATCTCGCCGGAGAGGTTGCACATGGCGAGGTCCAGAATTTTGAGGTTGGGTATGAACCCCAACTCCGGCGGTATCCCGCCAGAGAAGCTGTTGTAGTACCCCAGGTAGAGCTCCTCCAGGTTAGGGATTCTGGCCAAGCTGGCCGGGATTTTTCCGGCGAGGCTATTTCCTTGCAGGGCAAGGCACGTCAGCGCCGGGAAGTCGGAGTATGCCTCCGGGATTTCGCCGGAGAAGTAATTCCCGCCGAGGTTGAGAACCCGCAGTCTTTTTAGCCGCACAAACTGCACGGTAAGGTAACCGGAGAGGTTGTTGTTGTAGACGTCGAATATCTCGAGGTCGGTTAGGTTGGCCACAATCTCGCCGAGAATCGTGCCGTTGAAAAGGTTGCTGCTCAGGTTGACGCGTTTGAGCGAGGTCAAGAGGGACATTTCCACGGGGATAGGGCCCGTGAGGCTATCGTCGGCAAGCGTGAGGTTCACGAGCCGGGTGAGGAGGCCGATTTCCGGCGGGATGGTGCCGGCGAGCGGTATGCCGGTGAGGTTCAGCGACGTCACACGGGCATTGGCATCGCACGTGATGCCGGAGAAGGAGCAGTGGGAGGATGGCGGCGGGTGGGCCCAGTCGTCGAGGCCCGAACCAGAAGGCCCGATTAGGGAGGATTTGAGCTTTAATAGGGTGTCTAAATCGGAGTGTGCATGCACTGATAGTACCCATTGGGTTGGGCAAATTAGGATGATGATGGTAAGGAAAATAACATAGGATTTAATGTGTTTCCTCATAGTCTTTAATTTTTTTCTCTCTTTAATTGTTTGTGAATTTTGACAAACCCATATAAAGTGTTATGTGAATTTGGAGTACAGAGGGAGAACATGGATTCTATTTAATTTAGATAGATAGATAGGTATGAGGACAAGATAGAGAAAAAAACATGGTGTTTTAATGCAAAACACAAGTTAAATCTAAATAGAACTACACAGTTTCAACATTTGTTTGTTCTAGTGGTCTTTGAAAAACATCCTTCACCACACAAGAATTTGTTTGTTTTGTTAGTTAACTTTTTCAAATCCCATTGTATTTGGCTGGTGAGTCAGTTGATGTGAGTTAGTTAGGCAAAACTTCTTTTATCATTTTTTCAATTGCTAATTAATGAATTGAATTTTAATAATGACTAAAACTTTTATAAAATGGTAAATTACTTGTTATATCATTAAACGCAGAGGCGGAGCCACCCATGAGATAGAGTGAGCTCCAACCCCATGTCAAAATAATAATAAAAAATATCTAACTTTATTTTTTTAAAAAAAAAAAAATTATAAATAGTCCTATATAAGTTTTTATGTAGCTCTATCTAATTTCGAGATGGATACCTCAAGATTCAGGTCGAATTTGCTCATCTGGCAAGCAGTAGCTTTCGTAGCAAAAATGGTGGAAAATCGTGTATGAGTAGTGAGAGCAGTGTTCTAAAAGTCGCTAGGCGCCTGCTAGGAGCTCGACCAGCGCCGAGCGCCTAGAGCGTCTAAGCGGGGCCTATAAATCAATTTTAAATACCTTATTTTTTATTTATTTTAAGAGCTACAAAATAAAACTATCTCAACTTATAATAAACCGACACACCTAAATCCAAATAATATATTGATATAGTTTAAAGAAAACATGAAAACAAATAATGTAATTAGTATTTTAAAAAATTTAAGAAAAAAAAAACTGAAACGTCGCCCGACAAGTTAGTATTTAAAGAAAACTGAGCCCTCCTAAGAGCATTTAGGTCTGCCTATGCCCGCCTAGACGCCGCCTAAACGCCTGACCGAGCCCGCCTAGGTCTGTCTAGGCACCGCCTAGCCGCCTGACTCTAACAGAGTTGATTGAAAATATGTTAATCCACTCTATTTGTTTGAACAAAAGTTCCATTAGCTATTTGAGTTTGACTTTTTTTTAAATATATAAGCGAGTCGAGATTGAGATTTTACAAGTCAAACCGAAATATGTTAACAGATAATTCGGTTCTTGTCATGACCAATTCCGGTTTTGGATCAAAACCGCTGGTCTCGGGCCGAGAGTTGGAGGGCCTGAACAGGCCCGAACATTTGCACGGACCAGTTCTAGGCTGCCCGTTTCACTAATAAAAATAAAAAATAATTGAAAAATAATAAAAAGTAAAACAAAGGTTGACCTCTGGTTCTGATTTCGAACGAAATCGCCAGTTCAAAACTACAAGCCTATTAAAGTCCGTGGTCAACGGGCCAGGCTGGCTCATGACCATATCTACTCAGATCCGATAATATCTACACCAATATACAACTACGCCGCTAATCCATTATGTTGGTAATGTTATCACGTATGACGAATAAAACTCCTATTTTGATCATTAAATCTTTTATGACATAATAATGATCTAATGTAGTGTGATGAGTACCTTAGGTGAAATTATTACATAACTGTTCCATTATTTGGTTTCTTCTTGTAAGAAAAACACAAACTACACTTTTTACATACACCATTCGGAGTCTTCTCAAATGGAGCCGAGACTGCAAAGATTAGATTATTTGAGTGTGTGGTTGAGAACATACTATGTACTGCAAGTTTTACATTTGCATGCAAAAGGACATTCGAGAATTGTTTTAAACAAACTATTAATATTTTACGTAGAAGATTATTTGAAGTCTTTTATTTTATTTTTTTTTTTATTTTTTTTTTTATATATATCAATTATTTTGTAATTTGATTTGTTCCCTTTCCCCTTGGACCTAGACATGGCCAATCATGGTCCGGCTCGGCCCGCCCCATGGGTGACCCTTGACTACCCGCCAAAAACCAAGGGTCGGATCCGTGAAATGGCCCTGTCCCGGTCCGGACCCGGACCGCCGGGACCAAAGAAAAAAAAAAGAAAACAACCCCAAAACAACCCGTACAGCCCCGTGTTTTGGAAACCGACAACCTACAGGCTGGTTGTGGACTGGGCCGGGACCGGGACGACATGCCGGCCCGGCCCATGGCTATAACTACTTGGACCTAAAACACCATTATGTTGACTAGACAGTTTGAAACTATTTTTTAATGAACAGAAGATTTAATGATGAGGTGGGTGTCAGACCCTACCCATTTGGGATCCGAACACACTTGTCTTTTGCTTTTCCGAGACAGGAAACGGTCCCCGGCCCAATGCTGGATTTTGTCTCAACTGAAAAAGACAAATGCACCCTCTCTGACACCTATTTTGGTTGCAAGTTAAAAGTCAACTTTATATTTTTGTTTCTTTTCAGCCCATCACCGTAAGTTTTAATTGCACATATATTTTTCATTTGCAAGGGATTTGGCTACCGATGAGCAAAGACAGGCCCTTTTTTTGTGTAACTCCATGAATTTTTCTGACTTAAGTTATGCAAAAACAACCACACTCTTACCCACATCCTCTTTGCTCATGACACAATTTTTTTTTTTTCGGAAAACGATAGAGAATTTTATAGATAAAATGCACAAAAGTGCAAAGATACAACATTTACCTGAATTGTACAACTAACAACTGGAAAAAACTGAGAGGACAAATCTGATGATCGCCTAGAACCGACACTAACAACGCTAGAAACTAAATCACAACACTCACGGCACCACATCCATTACAAAACTACAAAACTCCCAAAAAGTAGAATAAACAATCCCACAGGGACAGGGGCGGAGCCACCCTAAGGCTAGGGTGGGCTCCAGCCCCATGTAATTTTTTACTAACGTTATTTTTGTTAATCTTATTTTTTTTTAAAAAAAAATTATACATAGACTCATTAGCCCCATGTAATTTTTTATATAGCCCCATTTAATTTTAGGCTGAATGCCTCAAGAATATTTTCAGGTTAAATTTTTTTATTTGACAACAATGGTGATGATTGTAGTGAGGAAAAAATACAATCCTTTATTGTCAAATGACAATTATGACCTTATAGATTTTATCAATTGAGTTTATAATGTGACCCAACACATTCTTGCCTTTTAAATTTTTAATCGGTTGACTTGATAAATATTAAATGAGTTGGATAATTAAGTTTGACACAGACTTTTCCAACGGGCTATTTAATTGGATTTATCTCAGTCCACAGTCCGTTATCTATTTCATTTATTTATTTATTTATTTTTGTTTATTTCGCCTCCAATAATTAACTCGGCATCATTTCCTAGACAAAGAGAAAAATTTCGTACAGAGTTGATTAATTGCAAACATGTTCGACTCTATTTGTTTGATCGACAAATTCGATTAGCTATTTGAGTTTGTCTTGTTTAATATAAAAGCAATTCGAGATTGAGTTTTTCCAATTCAAACAGACATATGTTAAATGATATTTTGTTTCTAATCATAACCAAAACTGGTCACAGGTCGAAATCGTCGATACCGGCCGAGAGTTGGACCATGAACCGGCGCGAATATATGTACGGGCCGGTTCATTGAACTGTCGGTTATTGGTCGGCCGGTTCATTAAAAAAATAATTAAAATACAAAGATTTAAATAGCGGGCTATCGAATTTAGCGGCACCATTTTCTGGCCGCTATTTCGCGCTATAGCGGCGCTATCACCGCGCTATAGCGCCGCTATAGCACCGCAGC